GTATGTATTGAAATGGAATTTCAAATGGAAAAAATTATTAAAATAAAAAAAAAATATTTGCACCTTAAAGACTACTTTCCTATTTTTCTTTTAATAATTACTCATAAAAAAGACCATTCAAGCAGCACATTTTTCCTGATGTTTTTGAGAATATACTGTAGGGGTGAAAGCTGCAGCTGCTACTAGTGTGAAGTGAATGGACAGCAACAAAGCATTAAAGCAACAATGGGGAGATGCTGTCCCCTCAATGCTAATGGAAACCCTGGTTGGATAAGGATTCAAAACTGGATATGAAGATGAAATCTGACGCACAGTTTCAGAGTTACAACTGATAAAATAATTGCTGTCTGTGGTTCTAGAGTAGGCTATGGTGTAATTGAGCAATATATGAAAAAAAAAAAAAAAAGAACTATGAACTAGTTCGTTTTTTGGAATTGTGAACTATGAACTGAACTAGTTCATTTTAAAATGTGTGAACTGAACTTATAACTAGTTCAAGTAGAAAGAGAACTTTCCCAACACTGCTCCTCTCTAACATCAAAGAGATTACAATCAGGTCTCTCTCTAATAAGCCTGCGTAGTTCACGTCGAAGGGTGGAGTCACGCACACCTTCAATGAACTGATCGCGGAGTGCTAGCTGCGTATCGGGTACTACACCAGGAGACTGCTGTAGTGCAGAGTTTAGCAGCTGAGACAGGGCATGTGAATAATCCCGCAGATCTTCCCCATCTAGTTGCAGACGGGCATAGAAAGCATGTAAGAGCTGTGGAGTGGTGCGTTTCTCCCTAAATGCCTCCCTCAAGTATGAAAAGAGATCACGGGGTTGTCTTGCTTGCCCACCAATACGCAACTTAACTTCCTCTAAGGCAGAGCCCTTTAGCTGTGAGAGAATGAAATCAGTTTGATCCTCCCCATGCAAACCCCTAGTTAAAATTGCTCTTTCCACCTCATCTATAAACTCATCAACAGTGTAAGCATCTTATCCCACTTCTGACACCAAAATGTGACCCAGTCGTAATGGAAAGACAGGACACAGAAAACTCTCTTTTTGGGTTCGTTTTATTTCCCGACTGTGCCCAGTAAAACACAGTATTAATTTGTTTTGTTGTGAATTTTAACAGTTGGAATGAACAATAAAAATACAAAATAAGGATCTCAAGTCAACTTCAATAGAGTGGTTACTGACCTAAAACAAGCTACCATGCCCTGTCACTCACTCAGTCTATGACCGTCAGGATCTCAATATTAGTAAGAACCAGGTGCACTTGCACACTATACAGGACAGTAAAAAAATGCAAACGTTGCTAATATAGACAACAGTAGCGACCTGTCCTAAACAGACAGAAAACAGAGCAAAATTCAAGTAAATACATGGCTACAGGTAATATCACAGTCACAAGTTTGTCTCATTAAAGTGCATTTGCTGCCCAATAAACATACATTCATGAATTAAATGCTTTGTAAATATTTTTAGAACTTCAAGTAACGTGAAGAAATAATTAACTCACTTTTCCAGAGGGCGGCCTGCTCACCAACACACACCCTCACAAGTTGTGACACCGCAAAATCTCTCCCCTCTGGGTCAACCAGAAACAAAGAAAGTTGTACAAAATATATGAAAAATAAATATTAAAACAAACTTTGAAATCCGTCAGGACAGTTACAACTTACGCCAACCCGCGCCTTCCGCTCGCAGCGTGGTCGGCTCTTACAAACAGATAGGCGTTGCACGTTTCAGCAATCTACAGAAATCATCACGAATACAAAGCCATCACGCATTAAACTTGGCTTGCTAGGCTACTAAACACTTTGTGACACACATGTATAGCAGATTTGATGTATTTTAGAGTATTTACCTTGAGTTTTAACCACCATGTATGTCTGCAGTCTCTTAACTCTCCAGACTCCCGCTCGACAGAATGCTGAGTAACGTCACCCTACGTGCATGCATGCTCTAAGATGGCGCTGCTCTTAAAGAGGCAGCGTCCCCAAAAACCCCAAATGCAGTAACCACAATATTACAGTAAGAAAGAGAATAAAGGCAACACGAATCTTAGATGAACTTAAAGGTACACTATGCAACCGGTGTTGATTTTCCAGCGAGGCTCCCCCCAGAGGGCGAAAGTAAAAGTGCACTGTCGTAAATATGCACAGCTGTTCTCCTGGTTTCTCCGTCAAGCCAGGCGCGGTTGTTTTGAGCTTAGCAGACAGGCGAACGCAACGAATGACTAATGCTGCGTTCACACCGCAGCTGGCGTGACAGAAGCAGCGAGTTTACATGCAAAGTCAATGGTTGACGCGCGTCAAGGCGCAGCAAAAGGTCCCGCGGCGCGTTTTGAGCAGCAGGCGCAGCACGTCTGAGCAGCTGAAGCAGCGCGTCGGGCGCGTTTAATCATCTGATGCAGGGAGAGAGACACAGCGCTGATGATCAGAGGCTATGATTACTCCTCTTAAACAGTTTATTGACGCCTAAATTAACTTAAAATGCAGAAATCTGCCGGCAGAATATGCAGTTTGGATTATTTAGATGAAAAACACCTACCAGCTGCCGCGGTGAACCGCGAGGAGGCGACCCGGCCAGAGGCTGCTGATGAAAGGATTCCTACTGTCGGTGCACCGCTGGTATGTGGGGGTCTGAGCGGCTCCGACAGAAAAAATATTGAAGGCAGGATAATAATCTGAATGAACTGACGGCACTGATTACGTTTTCAGGTGTATTTTCTCACTTAAACACATATTAAAACTACTTTATTCCCACTGATCACAGCAAATATAGCTGCAAGGCAGAGAAAGGATAGTGAAGCTCCGCCCAACGCGCGTCAGACACACTTTTGCACCGCGCAGCCAGAGCAGCAAAGCTGCTTCAGCAGCGCGTCAGAACTAACTGGTACAAGCAGCAAAAATGAAGCAGCAGACGCGATTTTGCTGCGTCCGATGTGTACGTAGCATAACTGCACAAAGATCGCCACTGTGCTAGCAACGAGAATGCTTTTAACCGGGGGCGTGTAGCAGTTCTCGCCGTAAAGCAAGACTGACTCTCGCGAGACTTCTGAGCCTGTGGGTGCGGGTCGGTGCTCCTGCAATTGCAAGTGCGGTATTTCCCCCACAGACCACCAGGGCGGCCGAGAATACCTTTGTTCAACCTGAAATGACTCATTTAATCATCCAAAACGTTATGGAACACATTCATTAACTGAAAAATGTTGCATAGTGTGCCTTTAAAACTCTTAAGAATAAGCTGTGTCACACTGATAATTATTTATTCACTTGGTTACATATATAAATATATTTACTGTAGGCAGAAATCTGACTTTTTGCTCAAAGATCTTCAGCTAGACTTCTGATTAAACTGAAGTAATGTTTTATCCTGAAGATGATCTTCCTGATTAAAACTGTTAAGTGTTAATCCATGCAATGGATAAAATCCAGATGTGGTCTGGTTAAACAGTTTCATTTTAAAATTCCTCTAAATATACGTGAAAGTACTTCTTTAAAACCTGGTATCTCTTAAAGTGATTGAGCCTTATCTGCTAGATTAGAATTGAATTGAAGGAATTGAAGGAGCTGCTAAAATTATCCCTAATCAGTTTTGGATTAGTCATGTCTATTTCAGCTACACATGTCAGATCTTAAAAATTAGAGACGTAGGTCCAGTTAGAAGGATGTAATTCAATGCTTATTAGCGGCCTTTCTGTTAAAATGCAGAAAATCTTTTGCCCACTTCCTGCTAGTTTTCTTCTTTTCACGTTTGTCACAGTGGCTGAGAGGTGCAAATTAAATATAAAAGCATAAAAGCACCGCAAATAAAAAAAATTATATCATCAAACACAAAACCTAGACTATCACACAAATACATATTACATGATCAAAATGAACACTGCAGGACAGAAATGGTGCAATCATATAAAATAGAAAGCAGCAAAGATAAAAAAAAATCCAAATATAAAACCTGAACATTTCTCCACAAGCAACTTCGAAACACGCGCCATGCACCAAATGACCATACCCACTAAGCAAGCTTGTAGCGACACAGGGACTTAAATGTAGCAGCTGCAGCCTGAGTCGGCAGTGAGAGAGGAGAGCAAATTTTCTGTTTTCTCTTTAAACACAATTCACACATGCATGAAGCTTCCAACTTTCCCTATGAATTTAGAATTGGAATTTTAAAATAATATAATTTTATTTCTTTAAAACTGTTGTAGTAAAATAGAATAGCTGGGGCATGTCAGCAGCCCTTGCAGACACGCCCCCAGCATCTCAGGGCAGAGCTAAAGGACATTTGTTAATGGGCTCTATGCACAACTCCACTACTTCCTGAATTTGCAGAAGTTCTTTTCCTGTCGTTTTCTACTACTTTCTACTGGATGAACTGATTACTCCAGGTGTGCCTGACCTCAGTAACTATGGACAGACACTCCTGGATTCATCAGTTCATCCAGTGATGAAATGCAGGAAACAAAAAGCTGCCTTAAATTCAGGAAGTAGTGAAGTTGTGGAAAAAGCCTGTTAGTTTTAGGACCTAAGATTATATGCTTAGTTGAGTATTTAATCATTTAAACTTGGATGAAAATCATATTGGTGTGACAAACTGAGAACACAAATGTATTTATAGTTTACAGTATCACCACATTTGTTACTGCTAAGGGGCTCAACCTGTTGCTCAACCCTACTGAAAACCTTCATTAAAAAAGCGTTTTCTGATTACCTTTGTTGTCTTTTATAAAGATCTAAATTTGTTTGCTTTTGCTGAAACTCATGTATGTGACAAAGATGGAAAAATGTGAAATCAGGAAGGAGGCAAATATACTTTCACACCATTCTATGTTCTAGTTTAGTGTTTGTTGTTCCTCTTTCTAGAACTCAAAGAAGTATTTCATTTATTTGTTCCTTAAGTTGTGCTTTTCTAAGAATCTCTAACTCATGTCTTCACCTGACTTGTTCTTTTCTGTCCACCAGAATGTAATTCTTCAACATTTCTCAATTTCTGTCACTATTTTAGGTTCATCCACAGCTGCTGTTGCTGGATCCATCACTGTTATTCTCCTGGTGGGTTTGTTTGTGTTTGCCTTCATCCTTTTTAGGTGAGAAACTCCTTTTTACATCTTCAAAGCCGTTTACTATCTATCTGGGATATCATGTGATTCTTTCTTTTATTTCTTTTGATCATATTTGCAGGAAAAAGATGGCATCAAGCCCAACATCTGAAATCAGAGTGAGTGAAAAAGGGACAAAGAGCTCTGTTGTTAGTCTGCCTTCATCTAATCATTTCCTCCGTTAGACTGTCAGAAAGTGGGATGCTTAGATTCTTTCTAGAAGTTTCTGGGGTTGTATTAATATCAGGTCTTGTCAGAACATTGGCAACATTATGTTGCTCTTATTATTGCTGTATCTTTACTCTTCAGCAGAATTCTGGCAGACAGCTGGAGACTCCACCAACTGCAGCTCTTGGAAATACAACAGATCAAGATGAGCTTTGCTATGCTGGTGTGACTTTCTCTAAGAAACAAGAGGAACCTGTTTATTCTAACTTCATGCAAGCTCAACCCAAAACACGTCAACATAGGGAGGGGGAGGATGTGGAGTATTCAATGGTCATGTGCAAGAAGACACCTGGATGGGTTCAGAAATATTTTTGTTGTTCTTCCTTTAGCAATTTAAATTTCTTAAACATTAATGAGTACATTTATTCTTATAAAGTGTATTTTTCCTTTCACAGCCCAGGAAATCATGGCGCCTCTGATGAATCATGTGCTCTGTACAGCACAGTCAACAAAGTGAACAGATTATAAACAATGCTCCACCTGGGACTCCTGTCTTTTTAGCTGATCAAAAAGACAGGAGGCTAGCACACAGCTCCAGCTGCTTCATCTAGAAACCACTTATCAGACCAAATCAGTAGTGATGAGCTCCAACCAGGTTGTTAGCAGAACAGAAGCATCACAGGGGAAGCTACTCTCACTGCTACTCTTTATGCCTCTAACTTCCAGTACAAGACAGAGTCACATCATCTGCAGAAATATTCGGATGACTCTGCAGTCATTGGGTCGTCAGAGATGGACAGGAAGCTGTCTGTTTGTCATTCAAAGAAGCTGTAGGTCCTGGCAGGAGAGAGACAGCAGAACCATGTCTTCTAATGAGTCCGCTCTAGTCGAGATATGCTGGTCCCAGAACAACTGCACCTAGAAATCCTATCCATAAAGGTTATGAACAGCAGCGAGAGCCGCCCTGTTGGAGTCCAACATGCAATGGGAACAGGTTTTACTTAATGCCGGCAATGTGGACCAACCCCTGCTCCGTTTGTACAGAGAAGGGATGGCCCCTAGTAAAGGGCCTCTGACTCTGTACTCCAGAAGCGCCCCCCGACAGGGAACCACAAGGGACGCAGTCGAATGTCTCTTCCAGGTCTGCAAAACTCATGTGCACCTGTTGGCCAAACTCCCAGGCACCTTAAAGCACAATAAAAAGAGTGTGGAGGTGGTTCACTGTTCCATGGCTGGGACAAAACATACTGCTCCTTCTGAAACCAAGTTTCGACAGTTAGCCAGACTTTCTTTTCCAACATCCTGGCATAAACCTACCCGGCAGTAACGACTGGCCAATAGAGGGCGCTAGGGCACTGCCCCAACAGCCCAATGACCTTGATTTAGAGTTAAATTTAATATTTGAAATTAAAATATTTCGAAATATATAGATATATCTATTTTTTTAGATGTGCAAGATAAATATTTACCGTATTTTTAATGACGAGCAAAGCATTATTAAATTTTTCGTCGGATTGGTAATGTATTTCCGCCCCAGGGCGGAAAAGTCTTTTGCCATTGACTCTCGTTAAAAGCTGTACATGCACAGTAGCTTCTCTGCAATAGAGAAGTATAGGAGAGTTCAGGGCACAGCTCTGGTGCGGTGAGGTTGAACCGGACCTAATCAGCCAAACATTAAAATTAATCAGCAGTTCAAAGACAGATGGAGATGGATCACTTGGTCTTTTTCCAGGACCTGGTTTAGCTACAAGGCTTGGCTTACTGCATGTAGTGAGGCTAACGCTTTATTCTGCTTTTCCTGCCTCCTTTTGCAAACATCAGGATCTGACCCAGCATGGATAAAGACAGGTAGGACTGATTTGAAGCACTTTTTAGAAAAGACAAAGAAGAATGAACAATCTGGGTTTCACATGGAAAATGATCAAATATATTGTACTTTTCCAAGATGTTTGTTAAATAAATTAAATAAATATTTTTTTATATAAATATATATATAAAGCTGACTATTAGCTTCTCCATTATTAAACTGGTACATTATTTTTTAGGTTTGTGACAATAATATTGGACCATGCACAAGAAAGATTTGCCTTAACAAAACCTCAGAAGGGCAAGATTTATATCCAAAAAGTAAACCTTTACATAAAATTATATTTTGTTTTTATAAAGGGTTTTTTATAATGTTTTTTGTTCTTGTCATTCATATAAATAAACTGGTGTGATAACTTAGTATTCGTTTGATTGTTTTTTGGTATACGTCTATTTTGAATTTATAGCTCCCCCTGGAGAAAACTCCACCAGCCGACCACTGGGGAGGCTGAGGAGTGTGATCCCCCGCTAGATGGAACACACCCTGCGGTCCCCCTTTTTATCCAGAGGAACCACAAACCCAGTCTCCCAATCCAGGGCCCAGTCTTCCAACCTCCATGCAATGTTGAAGAGGTGTGTCTGCCACAACGACCCAACAACATCCAGAGATCTAAAGTACTCAGGGCTGATCTCATCCACCCTGTGACTCTTTTTGTTTCTCTCAGCTGTTAAAAGTCTGTTGGCTTCTGTTTCTCTCTACTCTCCAGAAATGCACTGGTGGGTTTTTCAGAAGGGTTAAGCTTTTTGGACAATGAAATAAAACTGCAAAATGTAAATTACTTTGAACCCTCTGCAGAAGTTAGGTTGGTCCTTGAAGCGTTTCTTGAGTGTGTTAAAACATATTAGAGATGACTATTGTTAGGTTTATTCAATGATGATTATAAAATTAATGTATGTACATGTAAAACATTGGAGAAATGAGATGCTTCACTCTTACTTATGATTCAATCAGAAGACCGCCCTGCCTTGTGATTCAGTCAGTGGAGCATCCTGTCTTATGACCTGATCAATTGTCCTGTCAGAACAATACTCTGTTTTGTAACCATGTGTTATGTTCTGTTAATAAAAACGCTCTGCAGAGGAGGTCTGGGAGAGAGAGGGTTAGTGAGTTGGGTGCAGGTCTTTTCTCCTTCTGCAGAAGCTGTCCCTTTCTGTGTGTACTCAGTCCTTCTTTCATGAACCTACATTTTTGAACCTAACAACTATATCAGAGCAATGTTATAAAATAGTAGCAGGTTCACAGGAAGACAAACTGCGGCAGATGGCTGTGAGGATGAGGCTGGTGACAATCAGACTGGAAAAGAACAAAAAGTCAGCAGGACTCAGCTTTCTGTACAGAGTTATTATCCTGGAGGCACCGAGGTCCAAACGGAGGCTCAGAGAGGACATAGCTTTTTCATGTGCTGCTCCCCCTCCCTCCTCATTAGACAATCTTCTTTAATGTCTGTTTTTAAAACTTGTCTTAAAACCTATTTTTATTCTTTGGCTTTTAACGTAGCATGATACTCTCTCTGTTTATGCATTTGTGATTTGTTTTATTTTTTTTCTTATATGGTTTTATTTGTTTTAATTAATTCATTTAATTATATTTGTTTTATTCCTTTAAACTTCTAAGTTTTTATATACAATTTAACCTTTACCTGATATTTAAAGCACTTTCTGGCAGCTCTAGTTGTTTTAAAGTGCTTTATAAAAAAAAAAGTGGAGTTCAGTTCAGTGGAGTTATCATTAAACCTTTGCTGGCAGAATTCAACAGCATCCATTCTGGAACAAAGAGACTGGATTTGGAAAAATAAATATGAAAAAACCCACATATTATATAAAAAAAAAAAAAAAAACCCAACTATTTAATAAAGATGAAACAGATATGTGAAACAGTATATTGAAAACATAGGGTTCCTTCCCTGACATGTAGCAGTATTATTTACTCAACAGCTTGACCTAGTGTTTAGGAGGAGGATTGCACCGATTAGGGTTCTTCTGAAGTAAAGGTGCAAAAAATAAAATAAAAATAAAAATACATGTTCAAGAGAAAGTTGTTTTTACTATGATTCAAGCCAGTAAATAAGGATATGATTTAAATTCTTACCCTGATTGAAGGTAAAATAATCTTTAACTGATATATTAATCTGACCTTAATTAGATTTTTATGAAGTGCTTAAAGTTAAAAAAAGATGTAAGGAATTAAGTATAGAACTAAGTTTTGGTTGAATTTTATCAGTAATAGTTCCCTGGAGAAAGCAACATGATGAGAGACCCTTAATGGTGCTTAATCATACCATGAGAATCCTACAGTGGCAGACTGCTGTCCAGTTAGAACAATCTAAAAGAACACTGTGTAGAACACTGTGTATAGCTGAGAGTGTAGAGAATTTATTGCCGATTCAAACTCGTCCGAACAGAACAGATCATTTCTTTGAGACACTGAATGCTCACCACTCCTTCACAAAAGATACTTTTTTCCCTTGCATAACAGGAAAGACAGTAATCACATTTTTTAAACTGATCATCATTGCAGGCGACTGTCGGCCTGGTGGTTAGGGCATTGCACTTTGGATCCAGAGCGCAAGTTCAAGCCCGACTCCTACAGACTGCTACTCTGGCTCCCTGAGCGAAGACCCTTAACCCCAGGCTGCACAATGGCAGCCCTCTGCTCCCCAAGAGGAAGGCTTAAATGCAAACAGTGAATTTCGATGCTCTGTACTTGTGACAATACATTTATAATTCTTACAAAAATTCACTCATTCTTTTTCAAAGAAAGCAGAGCACTCATCTCCAATAATCCCTTGGTCTTACTACAACTGACACCAAAGGGAAGGAAACTGGTTCCAGAGTAGGTGAACTCCATCCTTGAGGCCTGCTGTCCTGCAACTTTTAATTTTAAAATTATTTGAATTCTGGTACGTTGAAACAGAGAGAAACTTTAAAGTTGCAGGACATTGGACCTCATCGAAAGTTTGACAGTTCTAAAATTACAAAGCTCTCTTTACAGTATTGTTAAACCGTGGAGTTTGTAATTAAACTAGAGTTAAAAATTACAGTTGAAAAGATCAGTGCTCTCTTCGTCACAGAGAGTTTGATGGCCATTTTTAGGCAGAAAACTTTAACTTAAATATGCTAACTTCATATTGGATACACATTGCCTTTGTTTTGTTGAATTAAACAGTTTCAAAGGTGTAATCACTCATCTTTCTTGCAATTAATAATATTTCACTTAACAGATCATCCCTGAAATTCCAAAATTAAAATTCCCAACTTTGACAGAAGTTAAAAACAAAACATGCATTATCCACAGCATTTTTCATTACAATAACATTATTGTTGTATCAAAGAAAATATACATATAGTAGGTACATCTAATAATTGTTGTGAAACATAACTGCTTTTAAAAAATACATTTTCTAAAAGCAGGTACTTTTTTTCCCTTATTTGAATACTGATTTCAGACTAATACTTTTATTTTTACTTATTACTTTATTTT